CACACATCATGAACAGTGTCTAGCCCCTTGCTGGGATAAACCATTATTACAATGGAAGAGACTATTAAATGCTACAACAATCCCAGCTGCTGGTGTTCTAAATGTCAAGCCAACACACACTCTGTTTAACGTGTGGTAGAGAAATAAGTATAAACACTGAATCAAGTCAACAGAGGAGAAATATTGCTCAGTAGCTCTCTCTCTCCCTCTCTCTCTCTCTGTATGTGTGTATATGTGTATATATATATGTGTGTGTATGTGTGTATGTGTGTGTGTCCCTGAGCATGTTATGGGAGACTGAATCCAGGGCCTTGCACATGTTAAGAATGCCTACTACTGAACTACAATCCCAGACCCATGCTATGGCTTTTTATAACCTACCAGAATATGCACATGAATATTCAGAGGTGTATTATTTGAAATAGTTCCAAATGTAAACAACCAGATGTCCAACAGCTGATAACTGGGTAAATGAAGTATGGCATATTCATAAGTGGAATATTATCCAACACCCAATAGAATGAAGTACTTACATGCTATGACACAGATGAACCCTGAAATTATGCTAAACGGAAGGAGCCAAACATAATAGGCAAATCTTTAGATACAAAAAGTAAACTAGTGGTTGCCAGTGGCTGTGGGGAAAAGGGAAAATCCAAAGGGGCTATTACCAGATACCAGGGCTTTGTTTGGGGAGGAAGCATGCAGCCACTAGACAGTGTGATGACTGCACAGTCTTGAGCAGACAAAAGCCACTCATGGTGTACTTCACAATGCTGACTTTCAGATCATACAACATTCTATTCTCTTTAGATCACATCTTGAGTTTTAAAATCCTCTAAACAACCTTGCTTTTCTCTTATTACTGTACTTGCTCCTCAGACAGCAACAAGTTAAGGCACTGCCTGCCAGTGAGCAGCGAGCCTCACTCTGAAAGGTGCCAGGTCCTTCCCTGTTGTCCCTTTCTCCATACTCCTCCATCCCTAACACACAGTCAAGTCAAAACCAAAAATATGCTAGCTTTGGGTAATGTTTAGAAGCTTTCTGTTTCTATTTTCAATACAGTGACAGTCTAGGTGAGGCTTCCATTATGCTGACAATATAGCTCAGAGTCAGAGCCTTCAATGCACAGAATGCTAGTCTTTTAAGACTTCTATGAGGACTTACTTTGCTGAGCGGGTTACACAGAGCAGCTTCACACTCCTCCTGACTGCCTTCCATACCAATCTAGAAACCTATGTTGTCTCATACCCAGAGAAGGCCTAGAACTGGCTGCAGAGCACAGCACGGTAGGAACAGCACTGCATGCAGTATTTTGTACACAGTTGAGCACACAAAGTATACACATGCTCGATGAATAAAACCATTCTAGTCTCAGAAAGCAGAGTCACCATGTGTCCATCATCTTTGCAGAAAAGAACAGAGTCACAGGTCTCCAACATCACACTGCACATTTGTGGAATGAATACTCCGGGAATACTCTTTACTCACTGGCTAAACAAGTGCATCTTTTCCAGAAAAACTACAAAGTCTTAGTTGGGATACAGTGTCCAGGAGCCACTCGCAGACCCAATGCTGCAACATGCAGATGGGCCATATGCTGGAATGGACACTTTGTTTTGTTTTGTAAAGCATTCTCATTAACCTCCACCACTGAAACTGAGCAAACAAGCAGAAACAAAACATTGATAGTCATTCTGACATGTTCAAGGCAAAGGGGGCCTGTTCCATTCCTGAAGCTGAACATGCATAATTATGCCATCAATACCTCGGCACTTTTAGCACTCTAGGTGATATGCTGGGGATGTGTATAAAATAAACAAAGACACTGATTCTTAGATTTTATCTAGAGAAAACAAATCAGGCATGGACACCAAACTGTACCTTTTCTTTGGTGGACTTTTCAAATGATAATTCCTTCCACTGTCACCATTAAATCTTAATCCATTCCAGCTCCTTGCATGGGTCATTGAGTCTATATGTACTGCTGTTATTTTAAAATGTTTCCCCTTGGTAGGGAAAGAGGGGGAGAAAAGATGTTGAGAGCCAGATGGGCCTCTTCACAGTTCATTTATCAAACCTAATACGCTGGGCTCCACCCTCCTCTCTCTCACTATTGCAGTTAAACTTCCATATAATTTGGTAATCATTTTCATTATCAGACAGTGACCCAAAGCAGCCGATCCTGGGATACTCAGTTCTTGCAGCTGCTCTTTTTCTGCCTGCTCCTACAGTAGACCCTAAGAGCTTGGGATTTTATTAGCTGCAGACTGACCTCTGGGCTGCTGAGGTCAAGAAGGGGTCAGATCAGAGGGCTTGCCCAGTTCTTTAAAAGCTATAACAAGCTGTCCATCAGGCAGAGTGGACTGTATAAACAAAGGCAAATCTTCAGAAATTCGGTACGACTTCTGTTAACACTTACGGGCATTCACACGGTGCTCCTGATGTACTCTGGATCATTCAACTCCGGGGAAGTGAATAGACAGCCCTAATAAGCCTATTTGGAGAGCGCTGTTTATAAGATTATCGAGTTTGGGCAAGGAAACCCAACAGCGCTCAGATGTACCTCTAGAATCACAGGCTTGTGTGACACTGTGACAAACTGAGTTACCCCAAGTCACTGCAGAACTGACACTTTCTTCAAGAAGCTAAATCACAGGGAACATATGCTTTTGGTTTCGGGGGTGGGGAGTCCCACACAATGGCTCATCTCCTGGCCTGAGAGAGGGACACATATTTTATGACCAAGTTACAAGTTGCACTTGAAATGTTCTCTGGAGGACATGAGGGCAGATGAATGAGCCTGCTGAAGAAGGGCTCATGATGGTAGCCTGGCACTGAAGCTATGCCAGCTGGGGTGAGGCTGACCTAAGGTTCCTGAAGTTACACAGTTCAATGTGTGTTACAAGTCAATGAGATTTATGCAACTTTCTGAAGGAAACAAAACAAAACAAAACTATTATCTAATCTCTAATCTAACTGGTCCCTTACTAGCTTGGATGAAGGTGAAATACTGTAATCTACCACTTGGTCTCTGGTGAGAGCTAAGTATTTTCTGTTAAAGCACAATGATTTTATTTTGTTGTTTTCTTCGTGCAATTCCAAAGCACACAATAAGTCCATCTTTAAAATGCAGGCAGCAAGGAAGAAAGGCACCTTCTGGGGTGTTTTATAACTTTTACCACCACCCACAGGACGACCATGCAAGGTCTGGCCTGTGCCAGACGCCGGGCTGTGCTTTGATGAGCAAAGAGAGGGATATGGTGACCGTCTGTTTATCCAGCTCATATGGATGAGGCTTTGAGATAGGGCACGAGATGGGAAACATCAAATGGGGGCACGGACGGGTGGGGAGGGTACGGTTATTTAATACTCCAAGGACACTTTGCCTTGGGAGCTCACGGGACACAGACCTCTTGAAATTTTCTTTCAGGTGTTTGGTTTTAAGAGGGTCTGCACAGTGTCAGCTGCTAAGCCCCTTCTTCCCTCCGCCTCTGCCACAAAGGACTTGCGAATTTTTGTTTCTGATGCTAGACTACATCAACTTCAACACTGGCTCCAGCTCCTGATTAAACTGTTAGCAGTAAAGGGTCAGAAATGCTGAAGCCAGACTCCTTTTAAGCAGGACATATCAGCCATGTTGTCTAATGAGTTGATGTCATAGGAAATCACTGGTGACAAACTATATGCACCCACCCAACAAAAGATAGCCATTCCTGGTGCATGGAGAAGAGTGTGGAAGGGAGAACATAGGGGACACATTCTTCTCTTTCTTATTTAATAAGTAGCACTAGGGAGAAGATAGAATGTGGCAAAAAGAGAAAGAAACCTTTCTGACGTCCCAATGCTGATACTCCACTATTTAATAAAATATAATACAAAATTGATAATGGTAACATTAAAAATCTAAAATTTAATTACTAAAAGTTAAAATGGTAAATCATCCCTTTGTCACTGCTGTTGAAAGCTCATTTACTGTGACTACACTGTGAGAAAGGGACAATACTGAAAACTGTGATCCTCCCCTTTAACACAAGCCTGAGTTAGACAGAGATCATGCAGCCCCTGAGGAAGAAGATGATACTCAGTGAGAAGCAACAGCTCATGCTGCCTTTCTTGGAAAATGTTCCTCGTGTCTTCATCCCCTTTCAAACACATCTATTTTTAAGATTATAATTACTAGTAGAGTTATCAATTACTATAAATTCTGCTCTATGAAGTTTTAGAGACTATCATGGCCATCAATAAAATTGTTCTTTGATTCCCAGGCACACAGCATTTCTAGGCATCAAATAGAACCATGAAAACAAAACAAAACATAACAACAACAAAAGAAAAAACACAGTATCATCTCCTGATTCCTCTCCCTCTGGTGTGGAGATGGTTCAATATTTTTACCAGCTACGCATAAAGAGAACCCCAACATTTGTAGGAGCCAGCTCTGACCTCTCAAACATCAACTGTTTTCATCAAGGTAACTAGACTTCCCCTGCAAGCACATTCCATCTGTGATGGCTTACACAAACCTCCCACCAGTGATAGCTTTCCAACCACACGTAGCTCCACGCACAAAGAAACCAGGCTGAAGCAAAAGGAATTTCTACTCAGCCAATTCTGAAGATGAGACCGATAAATACACTGCTTCCAGTCTGTTACTTGCAGGGGCAGAATGGACTCGGTGGACCTCCCAGGCATCTGCCTAACCAAATAGTAAAGCTGGCCTTCAGACTGCTGATCAGAAAGGGAGCTTGGGCATCAGGTACTTAAGCTACATTATGCTCAAGATGCAAACCTGCAGGCTAAATGTTACACTTGAAGAGAATTCATACACACATATGGACAAAGTCGGGTACCATTATAATTGATGAGGTTACCATGGACAGGAAAGCTAACTTCAGCTCAGAATGTCTTCAACGTGCTCATTTTCTATGGCACCACAAATGAGAGGGACAAGCTGAGCCAGGTCAGGGACACAAACCCCATCTCCCGGCAGCACAAACCTGGTGTGCCATTCTTTCCTCAGGTTCTGGCGCACGGTGAGCGGGGCCAGGATGGCAGCCAGAATTTCATTCCTTTGTTCCACAGGGAGCCCCTCTCTTTTAACTTCACGAAGCACAGCATTTGTCTAGAAGAAATGATCCCCAAAAGAGAAAGAAAAAGTGAAAAATTAATAATAAAAAAAAGCCCATAAGCAAATAAGGACAGTAAATCAATGGCTTTTTTATTACAGTTCCCTTGCTAACAAATCAATACGGTAAATGATGGTCAAAAATGGCCAGCATATATTCTGGGTTTAATCAATGTACATGGCACACAGGGCAAACTCCAAAGCACCATTGCCTAAAGAAACGTGTCCAGACGCTATGCTTTCTCACTCTCATTTTCGCAGCACACCAACGATTTTTTTCCCATGGAATTGCCTACCATGAGCTATTATTAGAAATGATTTTCATGGACTAGTTACTGTGAGTTGTTTGTTTTGCTTTAAAAACAACAACATCAAAGAAAACACAGGCTCCGACTTCCTGTCTCCTGCCACCCCGCGGAGGCTTTCTGCATGGTCTTGCTCTTGAATCACTACTTTCAATTTCTACCCATGTCAGAGTTTGGGGGTGTTATCACTCATTTCCCTTGCAAGCTGCAAATCAAGATCTGGCAAAGAAGGAAATAAGGGCATAATAGAAAGAGCAGTATATCTCAATAAACACCTTTAAAATTTGTGGCTATTACTAGTATTTATCGACTCTTAGATATTTTTTGTTTTGTTTTTTTGGTTGTGTGTGGGCATATGCAAGTGAGTGCAGGAAGGTGCTGGACCCTTTGGAGCAGGTGGCTGTGAACTGCCTGGCATGGATACTGAGAGCCAACTGTACTCCTCTACAAGAACAGTATCCGCTCTAACTGCTGCACCACTCTCCAGCCCCACACCTGTATATTTTTTAATGTATTTACTTTTGGGGTATATGCATCTATGTGTAGACACAGGTGTTAGGAAAGTTGGCTCTCTTCTATCATGTGGGCCCCAGAGCCTGACTCTGCCATCAGGCTTGGCAGCAAGAACCTTTACCTACTGAGCTGTCTTGCCAGCCTGTGAATGTTATTTTAGTTTCAAGTCAGTATGAAATTTATGGGGATTCTATAGCATTCTTTTGTAAACACTAGTGTACCCAAATATAAACACATATAAACTAGAATATAAGTCACAAATAACTAGATAGTTCTAAAAACATGGAAATGAAGCAGGTTTTTCTTTGAATTTATAAAAATAGATTTTAATGGACTGGCCAAAGCGAAGGTTAGCGGGACTGAAGCGTCCTTCCGTGTCTGATGCTGATGTAGCCGCTGACTTGGAGTGCGCAGTCACAGTTTGCTTCTCCAGGAACTTGAAATCCACCTCTGGTCCACTTGAGTGTTCCACAGTGTGTACTTATTATCTCCATTACCAGCTGGAGGAGGGGGTACAGCAGCGTTTATTGTTTCTGTTGTCAACACTGGCTCCAGCAACAGCACCTAGATGCCCATAGGCGAAGTCCTTTCTTTCACTGCTCATAGCTGTAGAGGACTGTCACATCCCTATAAGGACATGAGCCATGCCACTCTGCCTCTTTTCTCGGATGTAAGACTCTTGAGAGGATGATGAAGAAAGGAGTGTTTTTGAAGGCGACCCATCAGGGGTCTTAGTTTCTAGCACTCTTTGTCTTTGATGCGCCTTGTTAGACCTAAGCATACTGGCCAGTCCTCCTCTTCAAATCCTTTGAGTTGCCCATATCTTTTAAATAAGGCCTTGATTTTTTTTTTTTTTTTTTAAATAACTCACCAGAATCTATTTCTGAAGCTTAGCCTGGAATCCTCCGGCCTGTACAAAGCTAAGGCAGGAGACAGTATCTCTACTCTAAAGGGTCCCAGCTGGGATGAGAATCCTGACGTGGGCCTCTAGGATCTAGACATGTATGATCCTAGATGATGATGTCAGGGGATACTCAATCAGCTTCCACACAAGTCATGTGTCAGTTCTCCAGACCAGAGAAGAAGCTTACTTTCCCAAGATAGTTCCAGTTTGCAACCCAAGATCCATCAATGACATGCCCCACTTAGGCCAGACAGATGATAAGAATGAGGCAGAAGTTACCTGATGAGAGCACATGCTGTGTCAAATGGCCACAACCAGGCTCTCAGGAAGTCTGCCGTCCAGAGATGCTCAAAAGGTCAAATTTTGGAATTGTCAAAACAAACAAACAAGCCTATTGGCAGGGGAGTATTAAATGGTTTTATTCATGTTGGAATTCATTAACTGTTTTTAATATTATGTAGGCAAAATAAGAAATATGGTGAGTTAAACTAAACTCAGGCAGCTACTAGCCTGTGGCTTTTAATCTAAAAGAACTCTTATTTTGGTATGTCTTATTTGCAACAGCTCTGTCCTTTGTCTGGAACACCACATCACACAGTTAAAGCTGAAAGCATCCTAAAAACATCATCTAGTGGACTACCATGCCATGTGTATGTTACTTCACCAAAACAAAGGACCACGGGCACATCCAGTAGGCTCTACATGTGGTGAAAATAAATAACTTGTAAAGTGTCTTTAGTGCGCCCTCACCTCTACTATCATTTCAATTGTAACCAGTGGCTTTTGCTTTCCATACACAGTGAAGACTCTCTATGAGGGGAAAGAGCAGGAGGGGGCAAGACAGTATCACAGAAGCAGAGGATGCTGTCCGGTCTACCACCATTCCCCATTTACCACCATTCCCCATCTACCACCATTTCCCCTCTACCACCATTCCCCATCCACCACCATTCCCCATCCACCACCATTCCCCATCCACCACCATTCCCCATCCACCACCATTCCCCATTACCACCATTTCCCCATCTACCACCATTCCCCATCCACGACCATTCCCCATCCAGCACCATTCCCCATCTACCACCATTCCCTATTACCACCATTTCCCCATCTACCACCATTTCCCCATCTACCACCATTTCCCATTAACCACCTAACAATGTACTATTTGTCAAAATGATAAATGAGAAGGAAACATGAAAAATAAGTACTGCAAACAAAAGGAACAATGGATGACTCTTAAGAAATTACTGTTGCATACATGGATGATAGACTTATGGAAATGGTAAACTGTGGGAACATTATATGCTTCGTGAGGAGCTCTTCACTGCTAAGAATTAACTTTATGATCTTCTAAAATAATCAGAACCCCAGATCCTTAATCTTGACTTACCTGGGGAATGTTAGTAGGTATTTTCCATTAGTACTAATACAGAACACTCATGTACATTCCATTTCATAAAAACAGTCTCCTACTAACCAAAGCATACTACCTCTACCTTCACCCACAAACATGGAAAGCAAACTACAGGGTTAAGTCCATGCCTTGAGAGTTAGACTCCTTTTCAATAAAGTTTGAGAGGATAATGACCAAATAAGAATGAACGAAGCATATTCTTAAGAGGACTAGATGTTCAATCTGAGTCATCTCCCAATGCCAAGGCCCTTCTCTATCTGTATCTAGAAACACAGACTGGTTGTCCAATACACCTGCCATTCTGATTATTAAGTGTTCAGTTTTATCTCACACTCAGTTCATCTACCATGTGCAAACTTGTGTTAGTTAAACAAAAGGATACCAGAAAGTGTTGACTACTTGAAAATGTTTGTAAGTTATCTGGCAACCATGACCAGAGCCCTCCAGTGTGCCAGGAACACAAGCACATCCCTTTGTACATTCCAAGTACAAAGGCTCTCCTTCTAGAGTAGTTTTCACTTTTGCAACTGACCCTGACTTGCCCTGACCTCCACCTATCAGATTGGAGAGACCACTTTCTCCTAGGCTCCTGCTCAACCCTTGCTTGGCGCATCCCTTCTCATCTCCTAGGTGAATCTTCTTCCTGAGATCATCAACTGTTGCCATCCTGAGGTCGAACCTTCATTTTCTTGTCTCTTTTGCCTTTTAAGGGGGTCTCTGTAGACTCACTACATCTACATATCTACCTTTGCATTGGCTTCTGCCTCATGCAGCTAACAACTGGCTATCTCTTCTTAAACATGACACCTCAAACACAGTATCACAGCCTCCAGCTGCCCACGTCTGAACTTCATTTCCTCTCCTATCTCTCTTCTCACCAATCCTACCCTAGAACAAGTGGCATCATTATCAACACAATGACACAAGCTCCATCATTGGGATCATCTAGTCTCCCCTGATCCCTGCACATACTCCCTTCACCTTAGCACTAAATTCCTACACCTATATCTTCCTGCCCCCGCAGTTCAGACCTCTTATCTGCATATGGTGCACTCAAAACTGCCATCAATATCACCTGTGAAATTTTCTTAATTCAAGAGAGAATGTTGGGGACTTGGGATGTAGTTCAGTGACAGAACACTTACTGAGCAGGTACACGTCCCTCAAGATGGGGAGAGTAAGAGGCAGAAGAGGGCAGGAGGAGGGAAAGGAGTTCATTTTTCACAGTGCAAGTCTGAACAAGTTTCTTTCTTTCTTATTAGTCAGCTTCACCCAGGGGGTGGTTTGTGAAGTTGTCTACATGAAGTCCGGCGCTCCATGAAACACAGTAACCTCAGAGATGAGGAACTCTGGCCTCCAAAGCCCAACAAAACTAAGGTATTTCTTCTTATGCATGTTTTAGTTGTTAAAAGTCAGAAGATTAAAAAAATACATTTTTAAAAAGCTCATAATCCTAAGCAATGCAAACCTAAAATCAAAATAAAACAAAGGAAGCCTTGGTATCCTGCTGGCATTGCCAATTTTATCTCTTGCTATCTTCTACTCCATGTAAACTGCTAGAAACTCCCTGAAAGACCTGCAGGATACACTCCCTTGGGCCCTACTTATGACACATCTCAGACCACACCCCCTTAACAAAACCTTGTGTGGGCCACAGTCTTGTCCCACACTCGGATGGTCTGACCACCTCTGAGCATGTCCTAAACCACATCTCAGTCCATTATGTGTGTTTAGTCATCTCCAGGTTTCCTTCTCCAAGTGCAGCTCTTTCAGAACAGACAGGCTCCATGTCCATTTCAAAAGCTCCTGGGAGGGCAGCATGCCATGCACCCATGGGCTCTGAGGGACTCCACTGAAT